GTGTCCTCTTGGAGGCTTCCCAGGAACCAAAGTAGGATGTCCCAAGAGAGACAGGGCACGTTTAATTCAGACAATAACCAACCTCACTTAAAACTTAACAAAATATTAAATATATCCATCTGAGACTATTTGAATACAGGAGGTTGTTTTGAGTCTGTGGTACAGAATTTAGATCAACACTACCAGTTACAGTTCCTCCTAGTCATCACCCCACTACACCGGGGATGTAACTGGGAAAGGAGCAATAGAAATGTATTGACAGAAAAAAATGCACCAGACTTTAACCACAGCAGGAAGGTGCTGTTGGGCAGATCCCACTGTTGTTCTCTGGACAGAGAGGTGATGGAGAGCTGGAAAAGCCAATTCTCACACCTGTGACGGGTCTAGAGGCAAAGACAGAAGAACCTCTCCAGTGCTGGTCCAGCTCTATGAACTCTGAGGAGACAGACCTTATTCTGAGCACAAGCTCAGAATGACAGACAGTGTAAGATGAAAATGGGTTTTCAAGTGACCTTACAAATAAAAGATGACACCAAACAGCCCTAGCAGCAGTCTTCTGATTAACCACAGGATTAGAAGCAGGACTCAGATCCAAGCAGCCTCAGAGCAGGGGAAAAATTCACCTGAGCTTGACAAAAGTAGCTGAAAGGCATTTGCTGTTTTTAGCGTTTCTGTAAGTATAGAGTTTGGACCTAAAAACGGCGTGAGAATAGCCACAGAAGCCACGTGGGCTGCAGCTCAGTGGCCAGACATTTCCTTGAGAGACAGGAACATCTGGGAAGGTTTCAGTAACATGGAAAGAAATGTGTGCTTCCTGCAGTTTTATTTCTTACTCAGTTAAATAGAGAGGAACACACACACCTCACTGAGTATTGGATGAACTGTTCTTGCTTCCCTCCACCTTCCTAGGCAGCAGCGAACCTGCACCTTAGATGTGGATGGATAAACCAAACTGATTAACGTGGAACTTAAAAAACTTAGCAGAGGGTGACTACATGAGGCCAAACCTGTTTTTCAAAGTCTGCGTGGGCTCTGGTGAATTTTTGTGTATTTCTTCTTTCACAACTGCACGCTTTCCCAAGCGATATTTCCCCCATTTTTGAGCCATTTTTCTAAGTCTCTGTATGTTTGATGCCTTAGGACACATTCTAGCTCTGCCCTCCTATGAAGCTTCTAGTAAGAGATAAGCATTGAGGTGAGTTGTGTATTAGGTGCCTCTGAAAATGTGAACTAGCCCCTAGCTTAGTTCTCACCTAATGGGGTGGAAGACCCTGGGATGGGTTTGAGAGAAAGAAGCTGAATCTGTAGGCTCAGTGGACTGAGGACCACACAGGGAGCAGGACACAGTGGGGAGGGTTTGCAGAAGGCCATGAATTTCGGGCAAGGTTGACTGGATTCTGCCTCAAACTTGATTTAAGGATGATGAATTTAAGAGCAAATGGGTAACTGAACATAAACTCTATTTGAAACAGGTACAGTTTCTTACACAAATCAACCAAAGAGAAAAAACGAGATGACTTATCATCCAGAGACCTTCAATTGTAGGTCTGCTTAATTGAGATTTTGAGTAAGACCTCTGTGTGGCTTGGTTTTCCCCTATTAGCCAAGTGGAGATGTTGAAACACTACTAGTATGTTTCCAGGTGAAAGAGCCAGGTCTATGGGACGGAGGGAATGTATTATGAGCGCCCGCATTACCCACAAACCCTCTACGAGCCTCACAGCCAGCCAGCTAGCGGAGCCTTTCTCACCTTTTCCTCAGGTCCTGTGGAGCAGAAAGTTAAAACCATTGGGTACCAACAAATCCTTTTCCAGAGATAGCTATCAAAATCTGCTCGAACCATCTGTTTCTCTGACTGTTTTTCCTTTCACTGTGGGTTTTTTTTTTTTTGCTAACAACAAAATCTATTCTAAAATAACCAAGATGTTATGACTGAAAATGCCAGAGGTATAGATCCAGTTTATGAGAGAAATTGCTTTCTCAAGAGGAGTTCGGTTTATCTCGTGTGGAGGAAGGCAACATTTCCACAAATACAGTCGCGCTGGGAAAATAACCAACTACTTTCATTAAAAGAGTATGCGACAAGATTTGTATTTGTTCCCGTAATTGAATTTAATGCTGCTGAAATTTGTCACACCTGAAAGCTACTGAAGTGTAGACTTTTTCTTTGAGAAAAATTGCTTAAGCAATTGTCTCTCGGCCTTCCAGCAGGTCTGCTGTTGATGGTAAAAGGTCACAGGTCAGTCCTCTCTGCATCGGCATAATGCGTAGCACCAAGGACTGCCTCTGGGACGATCTTTTTTTTCTTTTGAGAGGAAGGCCGTCAGTGTTTGTGGAGAGGCCTTGACTGACTTGCCAACCACTCTACTGGTTTACATTTGGTGTCTAGATGTTGGTGACCTGGGTTAGTACCTACAGATGGACAGCCAGAAGTTTTACAATTGGTTTTTCCCTCTGTACAGTCAAGTAGCTCACTCTTTTACCTACACACCTCCATGTTACGTTATCTTAATAACTTAGTTGTTTTTGTACAAGTTCCCTTTCATATTTAAGATGTCATTAACATGCCATCCTTCTCTATCTCTTACCTGGGTTCACCTTGGTTGATGGACATGTAAATCTCCCAAGAATTCTCCTCTGGGATGGCGCCATGGGGGATGAGTAAACTCACTCCTAAAACAGAAAAAGCCAAGAGGTTAGTGGTGAAGCCCCTCGGTTGAGCACCTTACAAATGCTCTCAAAGAGAGAAGGCCTCAGAGCAGTTTATATATAATATTTGCCAGGCTTGGGAGTTCATAAAGTCCAAAATGATGCCAAAGAACACACTGTTTCCTAAAGTGACATAAAGAAGGGCGTATTATTCAATTGTGTACTCAAATGAGATTTTTACTTAAAGTCTTCCCAGCATTTTTAAATTCTCTTGTAAGATGGGGTGTCTGAGACCAGACACTATCAAACATACCTGGGCACATAAGCATCTCTCAGCCTATCAGTTAGCCGGCTCTAAAATTTAAATGTGTGTTTCTCTATTGTGTCTCTATCCATTCGCTTCCTGAAAAGGTATCTGGGATAATGGGTGAGCCCTCTAACATGTTGCTGGAGCCTGCTATGTAATTACCTTCCAAATGGTGCACCTTGAAGTCAGTTTAGGGAGGTGACCAGAGGAATGGTATATTTTGTCAAGTTGCAAAAAAAAAAAAAAACAACGCAGTAACCTTACTTCAGTAAAACCATACAACCAAGGGACGGGAGGGCACAGGAAGTCACCTGGCACAGCATCTGAGAATTCCCCTCTTTCGTCCTGAATGCTGTGAAGTAAACATTTCACTTTGGCCAAGAGCAGAGTCCAGAGAGGGCAGAGATTCTTTCATGAAACTTCTTGTTTGTTTATCAAAAGAAACAAAATAGAGACCCAGTAAGATCTCTACAAAATACAATCTCAGGAGACCCTCCCTTTCTTTGAATAATACAGGGTTCACTTTTTTTCTCTCCTTTCCTTCTAGCTAACGGAATCACACAAGAAGCTTTCAGGTTGCTGATAATTTAAATCTAGAGCTGGCAGGCTTACTGGTCCCCTTCTACGTGCCTGTTTGCTGCTACAGAGTCAAAGAATGAACAAGTGAGTCGGAGACAGCGGAGTAGAGACTCCCAGCTCGCCCTCTTCCACAAATACACCAAGAATTACATCTACAAACCCACCAGATCGCACAGAACACCTACTGAACTCTGGAAAAGTGTCTCTTAAGAGGCTTCAAAATACAGGAGGATTGTCACAAAATCCGGTAAGAAAAAAAGGGAAAAAGAAAACGGGTGCAGGACTGGTCCTGCAAGGAAGGGCAGCAGAGGAAGAAAGGCACCCTCGCACCAGGATGCCCCCTCTCCAGCCGGAAGGCCAGTGGGGACAAAAGTGGAGCTTCCGAAGCTTGGAGGAGAAAGTGGCAACCACTTGGCAGACAGAACTAAGGGAAACAGACACCAACTGTCCCTGTGACCCGCGGCCCTAGATGCAAGCCAGCAGGGATGAGCCCCGACTGGCTGCTGGAGATGGGTGAGGAGCCCAGGCAGCCTCAGGGGACTGGAGGATGGTGTGAGCTCTGGCTGGGGCGGTATGTGGGACAAAACAGCCTTGCCCCCCCACATAAAAAAGCACCACTGTTGGGGTGTGTGTTGGGGAGAGGGGAGGGACACAATGTAGTCGTACCATTGTTGTGTTCTTGCGGGAAGAGCGGTGGGGCTTGGTCATAGCCATCACTGCTGCACGGAGCGGCCTGCAACTTCACAGGCCAGACAGATTTGATTATAGCCCCAGGCAGAGAGGGTGGATTTGCGCTCTCTGGACCCTGGCCTCTGGGTCATACAGGCAGTGAGCAGCGTTCTGGTGCACTTGGCAGGGGTGGGTATTTACAACAGGCGGCATACTGTACAACACACAGAGGCAGGGCTGGGGTCTGTGCCCCCAGCTGTGGCGCACCCCAGGTTCAGGTGTGTGACTGCA